AACCCCTAGTCCCTAAACCCTAAAGCCAGGTTTTGGGGGGGTTCAAGGCTTTTTTAGCCTTGCCTTCAAAGAATCAGCTCTGGGAGCCCGGCCCGCTTTTCAAAGAACGTTGGGCCGGCCTGGGCCCCGGGGTTTTTGGGACCTTTGGGGTGGTTGGGGTTTAGGGATGTTGGGAATCCGTTTTTTTGGGGGTGTTGGGGTTGAGGGATGTTGGGATTCAGGGTTTCGGGGGACATCAAACTGCCCGGATGACCACTGATCAGATGCACCGAGCCCGGGTCTCGTCACAGAGAAGCCCGAATTCCTCCTTCATTCCCTGCGTGTGCCCTGCAGATCAGCTTTTCTACCCTCCCGCAGTCGCCAAAGAGCTCTGCAACTTGCCTGAGGCCAACTTTCGGAGGAAGGGCTCGAGCACATTCCTCCCATCGCTGTCCGTGACGCACCCGAAGCTCCACACCAGACCTGGCCATGCCCAAACCGACGCCGACGCTAGACTCCTCCTGTTCTTTCAAGCGTGCTGGCAGGACTCAACCAGAACAGCGCCTGCAACACAGGGGCGTGAAGCAAGTGTGAAGGACACTGGCCAGCGCTGATGCATGCTTGAAGCACACAGGAGCTTTGTCTGAACAAAGCTTGGGAAGTTTTTCGGCAAGCGCTGCTGCACTTCCGCACGTATCCATGCTTCGTGCTCGCTTCCCATCCTGCAAAGCATGTCACATGTCATGGATGAACTGCAGCAAACTACATAGGATTGAACTCTCAAGATCACTTGCAAAAAGTGCTTCCTTGTGCATGCCCAGGCTCCAGGATTGGTCAGCATCTTTGGCAGGCCAAACAAAGCAGTCCCAGGCAGCACTGGAAGTGGCTGTGCTCGATACAGACCTGATGCTGTCAGTCTGTGACGGCATGCCGCTTGACAAGTCCTGAGGTCATCTAGCCGCTGCCTGCTTACGTATCACAAAAATGTAGGTATGGACGGATCTTTGTAACGTGGTTTGCTTGACGGAATTCTGGCCTTTGGCCTTGCTCTCCCTTGGAGCCAACCAAGCCTCGCGCCTCGAAGCATCGAAGGAGGATACGATCAAAGCCGAGATCATGTCCTCTGCAAGGCATCGAAAGGGCACCGCCGGCTCCCGACTCCGACAGACAAGGCTCCTCCACTCCCGCGGCACGCAGCGAGCTGGTCCAGAGAGGCTCCGATGCTGGCGGCCTTCAAAACAGCTCCCAAAACAGGCTCCAGATTGGAAGGCGCTGTGAACGTGATGCACACGCGGCCTCGCGCGGTCGGCGGCATAGGCGGCCGCACTCTGGCGATGCTCCTCGTCGTGCGAGTGGGAGGAAGTTGGGATCAAAGCTATTTGAGCCACGCCTCGGCGTAGAAGGCGGCATGGCTCCAGCCAGGTCTATCTGGAAGCCAAGGTGGAAGCGCCTGCACGACAGAGGTCCGGTAAGTTTCTGCGCATGGGTCCAGCACGGCCATCATCACAAGGATGCCGAGTCTATCCTCGGTGGACAAGTTCGGGAACTCGCCGATCATGACCTCCAGTTTGAAAGCCAGTCTCTCCCTCAGATCGAGGCTTTGCATCCGATGTAGGAACTGTTTCTATCTCCAAGACCCACTCTGCGAGCCCTAAGAGGATAGTCTTGCTAAGTATTCCTAAACCCTAAACGGTCTAAACCGGAGTCTAAACCCTAGACCCTAGATGAACGAACCCTAAACCCTCAACCCTAAACCCTATAGACCCTTTTTTGAACGAAACTGCAAGGGCCCCGGGCCAGGGCTCCATCTTGGGACTCCAGGTGATCGCAGGCCCCGGCGACGAAGCGCCTCGTCACCGCAAGGCCGTCGCGGCCTCGTCCGGGTCTCGCCGGGAATTGTTTGGGATCTGGGGGGGCTTAGAGCGTTTTGGGTTTAGGGTTCTTGAGTTTGGGGCTCTGGGTTTAAGAGTTGTTGGGGCTTGGAGGGTTCGTCCCGCCTCCATGGACGTAGAGAGAAGCTTTTACGTTTTCCGGGGCCGCAACGAATGGTGGATTTGCCACCTGAGGTCATGGAAACTGCACCCGTTGCACGTTCAACAATAAATCTCTCAAAGCCACGATCAAGTCGAAGCCACGCGTGTCTGCAATGCCTTCCTGAGCTCTTGCAACATCTTTCTGGACTGGAATCCAGGACAGGGTGCAAAAACTACGTAGTGCAGACTCAAGTCAATAGCCTCAAAGAGGTTCCCCTGGCAAACGGTCAGCCTGGAACCCAAGTCGTTGATGAGGCCATTGACCTCATCAGCAACCCTGCTGTTCAACGTACAGGTACCACTTTGCAGCTGCTTTGGTTCAAGCCTGCAGTGTAACGAACGGAACAGTGCTAGCATGCTAGCCTTGGCAGCAGGCTCCCTGGACTCAAGAGCTGAAGTCCGAAGGCTTTAGCAGTCGTGCCTTCGCGATGCTTGCTGCGCGCGGGCTGAGATCTACCGCGACTGCCTGCTCAGGGGTTCACAGCATCTCCTTTACCCTTCCGGCCTTCAGGCCCTGCCCTCACCTCATCTGCTCCGCAGCGCAGGGCATGCAGCGCAGCGATGCCGCTGCCTGTGCAGAGGTCCAGCACCTCACTCGGTGGGTTTTGAGAGTGAGAGCTCCGTTGAATGATCCAAAGGCTGAGTATTCCGCCCTGAGGCCGCTGAGGTCAGACTTCGCCTGGCAAGATCCAGGAAAAAAAAAGGCTTTCGTCGAACTTTGGGTTGGGTCTAGGTCTCTGAAGTCTTGGCCTTTTCATCGCCCGGAGAGAGCGCCAGGCACCTCAAAGTCTCAAGAAGGAGAGCTCCCTGGCCCTGGAGCTGAGCCTGAGCCTCCGACAGCTCCAGGGAGTCGGTGCCAATGGCCATCACCTAAAAAAAAAAAGGATCTCTTCTTGGGAGCTACGACTGCGAGTCTGGTCTGCCAGCTGGCCGGCTCGTCACCGGGTGGCCCCAGCGTCACGCTGGACCAGTCTGTAAGTAGGGCGAGGCCTGCTCAAAACGACTAAGGGGTCTCCCAAAGGGGACGAGGCAAAGCTTCGGCCTCTGAAGGGATAGAGCTGCAGACCTGATGCCAAGTGCCCGGGCAGAACTTCCTCCAGAAGCTCGGCGGCGACTTTTTCAGCACAGGTTTTTACACATTGCAAAAATGCTGTCCTCCAGCAAGCCGATATCAAGCATGGCGCTGACCTTTACAGGGTTGCACACTCCGGCTCCCAGTTGCACCTGCTTGGAGGCGACCATGCTCGAACCCGCCTCTGCAGCGAAAGCTGCCACTTCTGCACGAGGCAACGCCTCGCCGATGCAAAGCAGCCGCACCTGCTGATGTGTCACAAGCAAGTGATAGATCCTAGTGGCCTAGCGGGGCCTAACATGGCTGCATCGCATGTCAATCGCAGCAGAGCCACCCAGGGTTCCGGTGTCAACTCGGAGGAATCGAAGACCTCGCTGAGACACTCGGACTCCGACCTGTCAAAACTCTCATCTGTCGGAGGTTTTCACGTTCATTTCGAGCACATCTCAAGCCAGCTGCTTGAAGCGAAGGTGGTGCAGCTCCGAAGCTGGCAGAAGCCCTGGACAAAACTAAAAGGCTATTCGAGGTCCCCGTTTGGGACCCTTGCTTCAGGGACCGAACTGGGCCATCAGCAATACCGTTCGGTAGAGTACTCGCTGGCGCGTTGGGTTTTTACAACTGCAAGTAGCTCATGTTTCTCCGGCCTGTGGCTCGGAAAGGACGCCCTTGTCGGGCCTCCATTCCGGTTGTTCTGTTTGCCTGGTTTGATGACATGATACACTAATAGCTCTTGAGTCGCTGATCAGCACGGCCATCATCCACACTTTCAGTGTAATCATGAAGAACAACACCCTCATTCTATCCCGTCCTCGATATCGTCAAATCCAAAACTCCAGAAGATAATGTGTCCAAATAAGCAGTTTGTCAGCGGAAGATTCTGGAGGCTACTCTTTTTCCAAAAGAACGGCCTGCCTGGCAAGACCGTGGCATAGATCTCAAGGCTTCGAAGCACTCCAGCGAGCTTCAAGACGGCCTCTCGGCAAAATCAAAGCACTGCACGTGAAGATGATTCAAATGCCCGTCGCCTCCGGGTCTGTACACAAGCCTCCGGAGGACAGCAGAACGGCCCGTGAGCGCACCTGCAGGCTCAGGGACTGCTATGTCACCGGTGGCATGGCTCGAAGCCGGCGGATGCCGCCAGAGCCTCGGCCGCGCCGCACAGTGCCCGGCGCCAAGCCGCTCGTGCTTGGCCCAGTTTCCCCATGCTTCGCAGGGCAAAGCCCAAGTTCCTGAGCTGCAAGGCACGACAACTCCTTGACATGCAAAGTACAAGAAGGCTCGGTTCTGAACGCCTATCGACTCAGACCAGCTGCAGCAGCACGTCGCCCGGAACCTCACCTTTGTGAAGGTTTGCAAAAACACATGATGCTCTGTGCTCCTGGAAGACTGCTACTGGTAGCAATTAATGCTGCCCAATCTCCAGAGGAGGCCTCACTGATGGAAGCGCTGCGCTGGTACGCTTCCGCTGCCTCTTCGTAGCGTCCTTCTTCATCCAGCTTATTGCCCAAATTGAAGAGCTCATCTGCATGACATGCACCGTCGCCATCTGCAGCGGCGTTTTCCATGGCGCTGTGGTGAATGACATCACCGTGACAAAGACTCGAAGAGAGCTAGTTGCTTCCTCTACGAAGCGCAGAAACTGCATGCGCAGGGCAACGACCTACAAGAGCGCGTGAGGCGACGTGTATTTTGCTTGGACCGGAAGCCTTCTGAGCATGCGGCCCTCGTGGTAGAATTTCAAGGTCATGCACTGACTGAATACCATCCCGAAGACTGCTCGGCACTGCCTCGACTTTCGCTTCCTTCTCCTTCACGGCCACGTCCTGACAGGAAAAATGGACACACATTGGGCTGCCATGCAGGGCCTGTTAAGCCATCGTCCTTGGTGCTTGGATCCAGTGGTAGCTCTGCCTCCCATCCAAAATTCGAAGCTCTGATGCAACTCCACGCTCTTTATGATGATGAGGCAAGGAAGACCAGGCAGAATCCAAAGAGACATTCCGTGTTATAAGTGGAGTTATAGGTCCCCTAATATGGGTTATAGTGGTAGTTACCCTACTTATAACCCCACTTATAACTACCCATGTGCCTGCAGGAGCGCCCAGAGCAAGTGCAGGAGGTTCAGCACGAGCCAGTTGACGCTCACAGGCACCGGCTTCGACACCTCCAAGTCCACAATTGGTTAACCTATGTATTCATGTGCCTACATACATATTTTCTGACTCATTACAGAAAGACAGGCAGACAGACGGACGGACGGACGGATGAACAGATAGACAGACAGAGAGACAGACGGACGGACAGACAGACATCGGACATGTCTATTCTATAGCTTCATATCTGAATACTCTGATACCTATGTCTTAGATGTTCATCTCTTTATCTATCCACACTAGTTCGTGTGTCTTATCGACTCGTCTGTCTATCTATCTGCAAATCTACCTCCCTACCTACCTAGATAGCTTCCTGGCAGTATCTATACATGTACTTATCTATCTCGGTTTACATACCTGCACACATGAACGCCTGTGTATACATGTATGTCTGTCTGTATGCATGCATGCATGCATGCATGCATGCATGCATGAAGGTGTGTATGCCTAAATATACACATATGTGCGTATATCTTATATACATACATCAATTCATGGGCCGACATCATACATGTTCTGACAAGTGTCCAAAGCGCTGCTTCGTGTCAATGGCGAAGCTTATGTGAAAGAAGTATCGAAGAATCAGTAGAATCAAGCACCACAGTGGCTGCCAGGTGCGCTCCCTCTGCCGCCTTTCTGGAGACCATCTCGAAGACAGCATCCAGGCAGGAGTCCATCAGCTCCTGATACCGCACAGAAGGAAAACGGAAGGCTTCTGTTTCTGGCTGCAAGCTCGCTTCCATGGCAGAGCAAGGCGAGAGGCACTGCGAGAAAAAGAAGCACACAAGACGAGGCAGCAACAGCTACAGTGGCCAAAGTAACTCATCCAGCAATGAGGACAACTACGGCAATCACTAAGAGGAAAATAGAAGAAGGTCCCATGGGCTTTTCCGCTTCATACGTTCTGGGTGTAGTTGGGGGCGACTTGGAGCTGACCAAAGCTGATCCCGACAACCCGCCGAATTCACGAGTTTCGTGCTCCAAGACCCCGAGACCTGAGCAGGTCCTACCTGTCCATTAAAAGAAGTCTCTCGAGTCGCGATCTATGAAACCTTCATGGCCACCTCCGCGTACCTCACCATACGTAGAAAAAACCTAGCAAGAAACCCAAGCCGCTGCAGGCAAAGCCCACAGAAGCAGCATCAGCAACCAGTCATCAACCCAACAACATCCATGACGACAAGATCAGTTCAAGGGCCAGCGACGACACGTAAATCCAATCCATCCTCAGTACTTCCTTGTACAAAGCTTATCAAGCTTATCAAACTCTCCAAAATGTCGACGGAGCGCCTGCAGCAAGGCTGCCTGGTCCTTGAGCCGGTCCGGCAATCGTTCGCACCTGGGGCGCAGTCCACCAACGACTCAGCTTAGGGTTTGGGGAATTTAGGTTTCAAGGCCCTAAACCCGAAACCTTAAACCGCTCAACCCTGAACGCCTGAAACCCTAAAACCCAAAGCTACTCGCAGTGATTTGCATCTGGGCTACCAGGAGCTCAGGAGCACTCGCCAGCCAATGTCCTGCTGCTCCAGGAAGACCATGCCACAACGCGAGACCTTTGAGGGGTTTGGAGTTTAGGGGGCTCAAAACAGAACTTGATGCTAAGTTGAAGACATGTTGGCAACATATCTAGTGCTTACAGCAGTCTTCACAAGATTAACGTCATGTTGATGCTCAGGGCTCGTGCACAATGTGCACTGCTGTCACACTCCCATCACACTAGTAAACAAAAGACAGAAAGTGTGTCAAGTAGCAGAGCTCACCGTGACTTTGCAGCTGGACGCACAAACGCGCATGCTATCGGTCATCACGAAACGAATCAATGGACAGCTTCTACAACGCACTGCGACGCACCGAGAGATCAAAGCCCCAAAAAAACATTAGCGATGGTGTAGAAAACTACATGTTGTCAAAATGTGCAAAATACATTGTCAAGCATATGTTTCCAAGAGATCTGCGGTCGCTGGAGACGCCGCAGACAAGTCCTCCACCTGCGCGGAGATGCACAATACAGCCACTTTTGCGCGGCTTCGCGAATCAATGATGGCATAAGCAGGTCAGAATGCAAGCGGCTTCAGATTAGTCGGCCTCAAACATCATCGTGGTGACTGGCGTCAACCTCAACCACATGGATTGACGATGGCAGGTGAGTCACAACATTCACAACTGCCATGTCACCATATCTACCGGTCAAAAGCCTGATAAGCTTGATGTCTCGGGCCTTGCACATAGAGTCGCTGGCTCTTTAATGGGCCTGCCTTCCTGTCTTGCCACTCCTTCATGCAGCATGTGCGGTCTCAGCGCTGAGGGATGCACTTGATGATTTCACCACTGTTCAAGCACAGCTTTTTGTTGTCGTCAAGGACTGTGTTCAAGTTCTCGATCCAAACCTGGCATGCAGAAGCCCCTGGCCGTAAATCCAACTAGCCAGTAACATGTACCCAAGTTATGCAAAACTCAACACATGCTGGTGGACTGCATCGACAGGACCATCAAGCAGAATCCACTGCCTGCATGGATCCGGAACAAGCATACAAGAAGCACTGCCAGCCATTGGGCTTGTATGGCTGAAGGCACGCACACTTATGACACCAGCAACGGGCACCGCATTTAGGGTTTCACACTGTGCGTCTTGTAGGACTTGCCTTTTGGATTGCTCCGCTGCTGAAGCATGGCGCACTGTCAGAGCCAGAATGCCGTCCTAGGCACAGCTGCGCTCAAACCGAGAACAGAATCTCAATTTGAGAGCACTGTCTGAGCTTGCTGCTGCCCATTCGTGTGTGGCTTCATCATTTTCACCGTACAGCTGGCCCTGCGTAATGGACCTCGCAGCTTGAGTCTTGTCTTCTGCCCTAGCATGGCATCTGCCTCAAATCGGGGCGGCGCTTTGGATTGATCTTGTGGATGAGTACCTCAAGCACACTAAGTGTTCGTTGGGAGACGTGTCTCAATCCATCATTCGGCTTCCACAGTCCAAGTGCCGCGGCTGGCAGATAGCTCTCGCCATCGGCTACGGCCGCAAGTGCTGCAGCCAGGACCTTAAGAGACCATCTCAAGGTCGGGGCTTCAATGGCCGCGATGCGCACTCCATGGATCCTCTGCCACCAGATCGTCGAATCTGCGCTTCTGCCACACTTCCCGGCAACAACTACTGCGCCTGTCCCGTGGCTAGTGATGTATGTGTAAACAATACATACATTCATACATACATACATACATACAGACATACAGACATACATACATACAACATACCAACATACCAACATACCAACATACCAACATACATACATACCAACATACATACATACATACATACATACATACATACATACATACATACATACATACATACATACATATATATATATGCATACTGCATACATCTACATCTGCATGTACATATACATACATGTATATATTAACACCTACTTACGTATCGACAGCTTTACCATGTCAGACGAGGTGAGAGGTTGCCTCGCCACCGCAGCAAAGCAACCAAAGCTCGACCCTGTATGACGCCGTTGACAAGATTCCTCCACTCGTTTAACAAACTGGCTCCAGCAACAAGTCCGAGCCCGTTGCGTTCTCCACCTCTGTTTTGCCAGAAACGGTCTGGCCCACCAACATCAAGCCATGTCGAACCATAATGGTTTCCCAGAGCTGTATGCCTGGCCCAGACAGCACCCAAATCAGCCATCAACAGACAGTAGACAGTCAAGAAGCACCCAGAGCCGTCGGGCCAACCAGCTGGGCAGACATTTCTTGATGAAGCCGTCCACTGGCTGCAGAACAAGGCTGCGGGCCGAACCCTGCCGCGATGGAAGCTCACTGAGCTGTCCAGAGATAAGAAGTTTCCGGTGCTACTTGATGGGTTTAGGGTTTAGGGTAATGGCCCGGAGATAAGAAGCTTCCGGCTGCTGGACCATCAGCACCCGACGAGCGGTGCCTCAAGCTCGTTGATCAGCACGCCGTAGTCGGAGGGCGGAAGCTCGACCTCGGCTTAGGAGACGCTAGCAACGACCCGACTGTGGGTTTAGGGTTTAGGGTTTAGGGGTTTAGGGTTTAGGGTTTGGGGCCCCAGCTTCTGGAAAGAGGTCGCCGGTGATGCCCAGGAACAACGGGATGTCATTTCGGGTGAACTTAGGCAGGTTCACCTTGGTAGTTTGGGAGAAACTGTGACACGTGGACCTTTCGGACGCATCCTCTTCCAAGAGCCCTGCATCGTTCAGCGCAGACAGTGCCAAGACCTATCATGCGGCTTGACTCAAAATACGAACGTACTATAACATGCGGAAACTGTTATGATTCTCATAATGTCTTGTGCAGTGAAAAAGGTATGACACAACATAACATAGCATAGCAGAACAGAACTCAAACAAAATGTAATGGAGGGAATGAAAATGAATGGAATGCATGGAATGGAATGGAGCGGAGTGGAGTGGAATAGAACATAAGAGACCATGATACAATTCCAAACAACACAGCATAACATGCCATAACACAACACAACATAGCAAAGCATAACATAATTAATCTACAATATAACCTAACATAACATACTACACACACACGTATATATATATATACACGTATATATACACAGAGCACTGTAATGTACCGCAGCATGACAAACACAGTAGAATACTGAAGTACAGCGATATGAAGTAGAACGATATATATATATATGTATGTATACACATATGTAGATATATATATATATACATCTGATGCTACAATATACAACATAATCTAGCATCAGACCATATAACATAACAGAACGGAACAGAAAAGAGTAGAATGGAATAGAATCTGACATAGTATCATATCAGAGTGCTACGTAGCGTAAAATGACATGATAAGATATGATACAACAGAACTACAATCTTACACCGTATGATTTGTTCTGTGAGTCTAGTGTACTACAGTATGACATGGTGTAGTATGGTGGCATCGCAGAATATAGCATGGCATAGTCTGTTGTGATCTATGTCATCATTACCAGTAATGATCTGTGGAGCTGTCTGGGAGCAATGCTGTGCGCCGTTTCAAAAAACTTAGAGAACTAAGGAATATACCTTGAACCATAATATTAAGCCCGCCCTCTTCAGCTTAAGGACTTTGTTTGTGCCAGCCTTATAGAATGTCCTTTTGGGGCCGAGGCAAACAAGGAAATAAGAGTTCGGCAGAGGGCTTGCCGATTTTGAAGTTGCAGCACCTTGCCTGGGTTGAAGTATACCAAATATACCGAAATCACAGTTCCGCTGCAAAGGTCGAAAGACAACACACAAAGCCGAAAGTCAAGTCTATCATAATATCATGTTATACTATATTATACTATATTATA